TTTTGGAGAATTAAAAACCAAAAAAGATTGTCGGAAAGGTTTTGCCTTTTGGGCCATCATAAAGTATGAGATGGTACACTTCATATTTACATATAACAAAAAAACAACAAAGCATTGAATTGAGCTGTTGCTAAACATAAGTTGGGTGAATTGGGAAGTCTCTTTGCCAACCGGTTTTTTATCTAAAGCTTCGTTTCTGTATTTCCTTGTTTTTTAAATTGGTAAAAAGTTTTAATATGGCTATTTGGCTATGGGTAAAGGGCCAACGGTTTTTCAAGGTTTGAAATTTTGATACATATCAARCCATATTGATCGATMAGGGATTTTTCAATACGCCCTTATAGGGGGTGTTTTGGGGTTTAATCCAATTCTGGAGTAAAACACCTCCCCTACAATTCTGGAGTAAAACGCCCTTATAGGGGGTGTCTAAGAGGTATTTGCTAGAAGATTGTCTCACTGTTGCTTAAAGCATCTCAGTTATTATCTCATACAATGACACTCATATATAGCGTAATAGTGTAGTTAATTAGTTGACGAATAAAGGTCATGAACATGATAAGTCTTTTGAGCCAAGCCGTGGGATTTACCAATTTCATTCTTCTTGATGCCATTGGGAGGGAACTCCCTCATAAGTATTGAATTTCCAATTGTATAAAAAATAAGAAAACAAAAACAAAAAACAATAGGCTCAAAAAGAACAAGTAAATGCTTCATTTTGAACAAAAGGTGTAAACAAGTCCACTGAAGAGTGGATTCTCCTAGTAAACTTTGTAAAACAAACATGGAAGCCGAACATATCATGAGATAATTCCAACAAAGCTCCTTGGCATTCAAAGATCGGCTTCAGTGCTCACAAGTGTCCCTTGCAGTCTTGCATTCCGATTATCTCCATACTTGTATCTTATATGTTTTCTTTTCATGGGGGAGATATTCCCAATGCAAGGCTGCAAGGGACTGTACGAATGATGTAACCACTGTCTTCTGRCCTTCAATAAGCCTTGATATATAGACAGCCATTAGTTCTGCCTAGAGGTGTAATGTGGGCTGTACTGGACCAACACAACCCACTTTTGCGAGCCGCTTGTGCTATATTGGGATGTGGGTTTGGGTCAAGCTGAGCCATGTTTTTTTTTTTTATTTTGTCATTATTTTTTTCATTTTTTTGCTAAGTGAAAATGACAAATTTTGGGAAAAATAAAAATTTAACAAAAAATACTTAATAAAATACAAAATAGATAACAAATTAAAAAAAATTAAAAATTTTATTTCATTTGAATTTAATGCATAGAAAGTAAAAAATAAATTGAAAAAAAWWMMAWKGRAWTKGRAWWAARKWAAAARRAWWAWWWWAWWAAWTWRAAAWWAAAMCYWMMAWKGKWWTKRAAAAAATCACAAATTACTTTTARATAAAATTAAAAACCAAATTTACGATAGTTTTAAAAATGTTGTACAACTATTAAGTACTTTACAAAAAAATATTGACTTCATTAACTTCAAGTTCCACTTCCCCCATCTCCTTGATCTTGATTTGTATCATTTGCTTCTAGTGAACCATCAGTTGAAGTGTCACGCTCTCCTTAGTCTTGCAATATATTTTCAACAGCCAGCCAACCCTTCAAGCATATACACATCTCTAGGCATTCATTGTTCATAAACTTCTCTTGTTGTCTAGTACCTTATTATCTACATTGAAACAAGACTCCGGTGGAACTATAAACACCAAAGCAGTTAGTAGATCACATGCTATAGCAACAAGCATTGGATAATTTTTACCATGTTCTTTCCACTAGGTTAAAATATCAAAATTACTTAACTCCTTAGAGCTAAGAGAATCTGTTAAATTACTACAATTACCTTGTAAATAGAAATGAAAATTAAGTAAATGAACTTGATGATGAAGTGACAACTGTAAGGGTGTACAAGTTCTCCTATGTCCTAATAATTGAGATTTATATACACTATGCATTTCAAATAATAAATTATTAGCTTCATCATTTTTGTTCCAATTTCACTTTCCATATTTTCATAATTAATAAGATTCAAGTAAAACATCTAAACCATTTTTTCTAATCCTAGGATCTAATATTGCAATTAAGAAATATAAAGGAGAAACATCAAAACCACTAGCACCCATAACGGTGTAGTCAGGACATCCTTGAAGTGGAACATGTTAGGAAAGGGATTTTGAGAGTAACCGGAATTTTTTAAAAATTTGTAGTATTATAACCTTAAGAAAATAAAAATTAATTGCAACTTACTCGATCCATTAGTCTATAGTACCAACTTGATTTCAACTGATGAAGCTTCTAAGACTCCTAAATTGCTAACTTGAGATACTTGCGCAAGTTTTCTTCTTGTTAAAACTTGAATAAAATTGAAAATTAGGGACTATGGAGTAAGAGATTAAGAGAATA